GTTTTTTTTAAGCCACAAAAATATGACACAAAGTACAGTACGAAGAGAGAGAACACTAACCTTGCTCAACGCAACTTCTGGCATGGAGGACAGGAAGGCGGGTGGGGAGCGGTTATTGGTTGGAGGGAGAGTCCCCCTCCCTACAGGAAGCCACGACCACATGTCACGGGAGGGAAAATGGCCACGGATCCGGTTCGTCACCGAATCCGGCGTTCGCGAACGGAAGCAAAATTTTGCGAACAGAGCTGTTCGTGACCCGAATTGGTCATGAACAGAAGTGTTCATGACCCAAGGTACCACTGTATATTGCCTTGAACTTCCTGAAAGCAGGCTGGGGTAAAAATGTAATAAATAGAGTATGGTAGTTATGGAATGTGAAACTTTACCATAGGTAAAGATTGCAATTTTTAAAAAAAGATTTGCAGTCAAAGGTATGTTATTATATTGGTAACATAGGATTTAAGGTCAATGCAGGCTGGCATCCACCCTCCCTATAAATACTAATTTGTCTACTGGGTTACATTTGGCTCAAATTGCCTATTAATTATAGTAATGTTTCCTCTGTGGAAGTTTTTTAAACATAATCATACCTTCCCCCTGGAATCCCCTACGTGCTTCATTTGGAGACTTCAAAGTAATTAAAGGATTCTGTCTGAGAATTTGCACTACTTTCTCCTGTTAGTTGAATACTGAGATAAGGAAGAATGCCAGTTCGCAAAGGCATAAGCTCAAGGTGACTGTTGTAATTAAATATTAAAACCAACACTGAAATACCTCACTAATCCTATTGAGTTTATTCCTTTGCTAATTCATTAGAATTCTTTCTTGTCTTGCTCCTCAGTATAATTAAGCATTTGAGCTATTAATATATATTAATTTAATTAATTAATTAAATTTTGTTCTGAATGGCTAGCTTGTACAATATATGGGAATGTTTAGGGTTAAAAGCTTATTAGCCCCAGTTTCTAAAACATAACTGTATTTATGGTAAGAAGAAACAGTAATCTCAGTATATATTTAGACAACACAAAGTAATGTCTTCTTCATATGGCTATGGTAAACTTTCCCCACCTTGAAGCTATGCAGGTATGCTGGGCATCAATTCCCATGATCCTCAGTCAGTTGCTCTCCATGGATTTACAGGTTATAATGAAACCCATTTGAAGCCCTCCATTCTCCAGGCTGGAAAAACTAATCTTTTCCAATAGACATTGCCAGTAGAAATTCTATTTTATAAAAAATGTGTGTGAGCAACTTATTCCAGAGCTTATTTCTTTTTAATTAGTTTTCGTTTTGAAACATTATCTAAATTCATTTTTATTTTTAACATTCTTGGTATGTTGCTATTAGAATATGTTCATATGTTTGGAATAGCAGGCTTTGTTTTTATTTTTAAGTTGATTTAAATAATAGAAAATACTTTGGCAGCTGTCTGTATTTTATTATTAAATTAGTTATGATTTAACCAGCAGCAATTGGTGTAAGACTTTTAACTGCTGCCGTGTTTGCATTTGAAATATTCCAGAAATATTTCATCTAGTACATTTTCACACTAACAAATGACATAATTAACACATTTATCTGTGATTATGGCAGGACTTGCTTGTAGGGTTCTTTTAATTAACCAATGTATTTTTATGACAGAATGTGTGGAAGTGTTACACAAAGAAAATTATCCAGAGCTCTATAGGCTAACATATTGCATTCCTTTTTACATATAAACCACACATAGAAGAATTTATCATCTTAGCCGTAGAATATTCTCCCTTAACAAAAGAGAATAAGGAAGTTGTGATAACTTGTGAAGTGAACTTGTTATATTGTAGTCCCAAACCTTTGTTGGTATTTTATTGTAACAGATTTGTGCCTCTAGTCATTAAATCCATGGTTGGGATAAAAATCATAAGGATTGAATTTATTCTGGATTTTTAAAATATTGCTCATAAAACATTATACAATGGAAACATGATACTGACTTCAATATGTTCTCTTCACAACATACATTTTTAAAAATTAAGACATTTCTTACCTCCATGACACTTTTAGCTTTAAGCATAGAGCACATACTGATTTCAAATAAATGTATTTACAAACAATGTTTTAAAACTATTGAAGCTGTTTACATAAGTACGTGGTCCTCATAGGATTTCACCTTTTCCTAAAAATGAGCTCTTCTCCCATCTTTATTTATGTTGAGTCCTTTTGTTTTAAGCTGCAGTTACTTGTTTTAAGCAAGAAAGTTTTAGCACTCAGATCAGGTTGGAACTAGAGATGGTACGCAGGCCTGTTCATGATGACCAATTAAAAATAGAAAGGTGGGATTGTAATTTCCAGCAAACACCAGACACATAACTGGAAGGTTTAACCCTTCCTCTGGTTTACAATTGTCCCCCCAGCCGGATTTTTTTTGGGGGGGGTGTTGTTATTTGTTTGTTAGTAGGACAGATAAGCATTTGGATAATTTTGTCTGGGAAAAAGCAGTTGGGTAGAAAGATCCTAGAAAGAAAGGAAGGGCAAGGTAATGTTTAAGCATCATCGCTTTGTGCCCTATGCATCCTCTCCAGGTGCGTTTTCTGTACAAATGTTCGGTAGCGGCTGAAGCTTCCTAACACTGATCTGACTCCTACTGCTGAATATTAGTTTTCTAAGCAAATTCTTAGGGTAGCAGCATTCTTCTCCCGCGAAGGAGTACTTTGTTGTGTTTAATTGAACTTCTTAATGCTTTTGAAGGTCCTCAGGGCTGTTTCTGGAGACAGAACCAGAAGTACCAAATAGGCATATAGCCTGGCAATTCCAGATGGTGCTATTTTCTTTTAAGTAATGAAAGACATTATTTAAATAAGTGAGCAGATCCACATTATGAAGAAAGAAAGAACCCTGGAAAAGGCATCGTCACTTTTGCCTTTACAGGTGACTATGTGGGATACCCTAGATTTGATTTATTACACTTATTAAAAACATTTTTGAAGGGGTAGTATTTTCCTATAGACACCTACGTCTTATGTAATAATTGAAGGCTGTAGTGGTTTTTTCTTATATAAATATATACCTAACCTATCGTCTGTAACATTCAGAAAAAAATAATACATGTAACCACCATTAATGAATAAAAGGTATGTTATGATATGTAAGTTCTACAGTTTGAGAATTCAGCAGCTTGTAAATATGATTCTGCATTTGAGCAAATAGCATTTAAAAATTTACTTAGCTATACATTAATGGTTTAAAAATTGAGGTGGGGATTTATGTTTTGTTTTTCTTTTTTAAATCTCACCCTTGAGTAATGTTGACAAAAATAAATGAAGAAAGTGCATTTAATATAAGAGTCTACACTGTAAATGGAATGAACAAAATTTAGTTCTAGTTTATGCTTTTGAGCTGTGACTTGACCAAAAATCTTTATTCAGTATGTTTTAGGTTGTAATTTATTATTCTGATTTTAATGTTTAGGGGATGTATATTGTCCATAAAAAAACCTTTCTTTTCTTTTCTAAAAACATTTCGCTTTATATTTCAGAGCTGGAATATGGCAACGCATATGAAATAGAATATATGGAAAAAATAGGTTCTTCCATACCTGTAAGTTTCTAGTTATGGGTTTCTTGTTATTTCTTCTTACACTGTTTCTCTATGGTATATATAGAAGAAAGGCAGTGCTCCCAATATATTTATCTGAATGCAGAACAACTAAAAAGCTTGCCAATTAATTCTGTAAGTGCCTTGATACACCTGAATTTTGGGAGTTACTTTTAGCATTTTAATATGTTTGATGATAGGTTAGGGTAGTTAGGAGACTTTGTTCCAGGTGAAGATGTATGGTAACATTGTTCTTATATTTTGTTTTGACACAAGGATGATGATGGCCAGACAAAACAATCTTTGTACCTTATGTTCAATGCACAGGAAGAGAGTCCAGTCAAGTCTCCTCCAGTTCGTTTATCAGATTCTACAACTCCTTGTTCTGGGTACTTACTTGCATTATCCATTAAAACAATCAATTGTTAAAAAATACACAGTGATCACAGCTAGAAATAGTTTTTCTTGGAGCTTTTGTGTTGTCCCACATGGAGGGAACTAAATAAACTACTGCATGACAGTGTGGTAAACTCTTTAACTGTGTATGCTTTGGAATGGCATCAGAGAAGATCAGCTGACATTTAATATGTCAATCCCATTAATGTCCAAGAGGGAAAAGAGGGCAAATGTAGAAATAATTCATAAAGAGATTGAGAGCTTACAGCTTTCAACATTTATTAATTGCTGTATACGTTTAGAGTAGTAATGCTGGCAGATATGGATATAAGAATGGGATGACCTAAAAAGTAAAATATATTGCACCATAGTTTTAGTATGGAATGTAACCATATTGTTCTCTTGGCTCATAAGTCTGCCATTCAGATGCTGTCTGCATAGTGTGGAATAAGGGCCTGTGATAGTGCCAATCATTTTATACAAATACTAATTTTAAACAAAAATACTAATTCTAAATCGAGACTTAGACTGAGATGTAATGGAAGACTTTATGTAGGTGGTTTGGCAATCAGTGAATGTGTTCTATTAGCCACTTTGAAAACTTACCGCCCTCTTTTCCTTAGGTCAAGTTTGGAGGAAACAGAAAGCCAGCTTTCCTGTAGTATAAAACTACAGCACCCAGCTTCACGATCCCTGGTGGCCAGCCAAGAATCATCAGTACAGCCCTCTGATAAAACAAAAGAACTGGAATCTATGTCCTTAGGAAGTGCTTCAGACAACATAGATATAGTAAGTTGTCAAGGGTTTGGAACATGCCTTCATTGGACATCTAGCTTGACTGTAAAGTAAACTTGCTCTAGATCATTGGTCTTAAATTGTTTGACCCAATTACCCCTTTTCCTAATCTCAAATAACACCCCCCCCAAAAAAAAACATATTCTGTTGTTTTGCACAAGCATCTTGGCGGTCCCAAACTGGATCCTCAACTTACAAACAAGCAGTTACAAATTGCTGCCTTACTGTCAGGATATGTCTCAAGATATCTGCTCTAGATCAGCATTTCCCCACGTGTGGTCCATGGCCCCGTACCAGTCCTTAGAAAACATACAAATGATCATATCTCCCTGCTCTGATAGACTCATTCAAAATCCCAACTCTTGTTTTCCGAATGTCTACAAAAAACAAAAATACAGAATTAGCCACAAAAAAAGTTCCCCACCTGTATTTGGGAAACCCTGCTCTGGACTAACTTTCCCAAACTTGGCTGAGATTTGTAGTCCCTATACATCTAGGGTTACCAGTCTGTGAAAAGCTGTTTGGAAATGGAATTGCTTCATTAGTTAAAGGGATATAACAGAAAATAATTGTTTAAAATGCTTTTATTTTATTTTTTTTAGAAAAGCCTGTATGAGAACTATTCCCAGTGGTATTCAACTTCTTTTAATAGTTTTTTTCTTGCCAGATCTCAGATTCTTATGGTCCAGTTGAAAAAAAAACAACATATTTTACTTCTGATTTGGTTGGTACTTGCCTGGGGATTAAACATATATTTATAGGAGCTAATGGATGGTTTAATCAACAGTAGTTCTATTAATTTCTTTATCTTTTTTTTTGCTCTTCAGATCACACCAGAAGATCCTTTTGTTTCTGCTGACGCTCTCCTTAGTAGGATATCTCATCCACCTTCAGTATGTGATCAGCTTCAGTATCTGGAGCCTGACTTAGCAGAAAAGAATCCCCCAGTATTTGCTCAGAAACTTCAGGTTTGTAATGCAAGTTGGTTTGTGCTCCTTGTGAATGTTCTGCTCTGATAAGGACAGACTTCTAAAGTCTAGCAAAAATCTGCCATGAACGTTATAAAAAAACTAAAAATTGTACTCTGTGTGTGTGTGTGTGTGCGTATATATATATATATATGTATGTATGTATGTATCACATTACATCACACAGCATATATTGAATTAGTTGTTTTCCAAAGAAAAAGCAAGTGTATACTATATCTATTTTATGTAGTTTCACATATTTACACCTACCTTTCCAATAATTCAGTATCTGATATGTGAATGGTCTCTCTACATGTTTACGTTATAATAATTTCATCTGCCTAGCTCTCTGGTCACGCCAGATGAATCATGATGCTGCATCTGCCATTTTGCAGATTTTGACATTCCCTTCTTTTCCCCTTTGGACATTGCTATGTCTAGGGGAATTCTTGGTATGCCTAATAAGAAATCTGGAACTCACAGAATTTAAGAAAAAAACCCCACAATGTTGAAATTATAAAACAGCGTGGGAAAACTGGCTTTCCAGGTATTTGGGGACTGCTGTTCCAGTACCCTAACCAGCTTGGAGAGCAGTGAGGGCCTCCATTCCATATCCTATATAAACCTGTTATTAAGACAACCAATTAGTTGTATGAGGTTATTATTTAAGGCTGCAATGTTTGTATATTCATGTGGGTAACAAATCACCAAACACAGAGTTACCTACTTTTGAATAAATCTGTATAAAATTGAACTGCAAAACTGGTTCTGTGAAATTGTAGTTGTCATATGAATATTTTTCTAATAAATATACTTGATTGAGTCAATTTAAGTTTTACTAATATTTTTCCCCAAGCAAAATTCAATCTATTACAAAAGTTTCTTTCTCAGCCACAACTAAACAGTGTTTATCTCTGCTTAACTATAAATACCGTTTCTAAGGTCATTTTGCTGACATTTCACAGATATTAAACATTCAACATGTAGTTTGTAACTACATCTCAGGTGTATGTAATTTGCTCCCTGAGGAATAAAATGTATGTCAGAAGGGGTTTTCTACTGATTTAATGAAAAATTAAGATAGATAGATCCAGGTTGCACATTAAATATTTCATGTGATTTCTCCTTAACTCTTTCAGCATGTTGACCAATAATGTAGCTTTTTTGGCTTAGTGTGCTGTGTTAGTGGATCAGCCATTGTGGCTTCTTCAGTCATTGATAGTTAAAACAAATCATGGCTTAGTACAATAGGTGGACTTCCACCAATATGTATGTAATGTCCTAAAATAGTGTTCCTAATGTATTCTGTGAATATGGGCATTTGTTTTTGCATCATGTTTAATGGATTTTCCTGTACATTGTCACAACCATCCCACTGGCAGGAGGAATTAGAATTTGCTGCAATGAGGATAGAAGCCCTGAAGCTAGCCAGACAAATTACCTTGTCTTCTTCCAACTCCTTAGATACTGAGGTATCTTCTGTGCCTGCAGTTTGTGTGCTTAAAAAACTGTGTTGTTGCTTTTACTTTAACAATAAGTTTTTCTGAGTGGTGATGCTGGATGATTTTGGCCCATTCCTATCTAGAAAGACAGAAAAGAGCATGTGGAAGTTCTTTCTCTAATCTCAGATGCAATTGCATTCCACTTTGCATCTGCATATGTTTCAAAAATTACTATCACATGAGCTTGATCACAGGAATACATTTGGCTGCCTTTCTCTTGTACAGACCTGTGTTGCTTTTCACAGTCTAATTATTTAGTCAATACATTACTAGAAATGTAAATGAGGTTGGTGATTTCTGTAGAAGTGCATGGAACAGACACTGTGAATGTTATGGAGATACTCAGAGTTCGGTGAGTGCCAGTGGTTCCACAGAAACACAGATAATCTTAGAAGAAGAAGAATCGGGTGAATATATGAAAAATATTCACAGTTGTGTGATATCATTCAGGGCTGTATATCCAGAAATAGCAGTGTGGCAAGCATTTAGAAAACTGCTCGGGGTTGTTGTTTTTTTCTTTTCTTTTTTTATCCATTTGTAAAGTCAACAACTCACCAAATTCGGAACATTCACTGTAGCATGCTATTTTTTTGAAAATTGGCTTTAACTGCAGGCCAACGATTGCAGGGACCTATGCCTTGAGAAGTGGAAACTGGTACACATCCAGTTTAAGAAGTGGATGGGTTTGGATCCAGGATTTTCCTTCCCATAGATAGAAAGCTTTTCCCATCTGCAGAAGACTTCTGATCTAGCAAAGGCCTCCTTCTTTCCTCCTCTAGTCCTTTGAAAATCTGTGCTATATGATTGCTGGCCACATACAAAACTCAGGAAAAGATGGCCCTATGCAAAATTCACCTATCACTTCCCATTGGCTATCACAAATGAAACTATATCTAGAATTGTTGCCATGGGGGAGGAGGGATGGGATGGTCTTTAATCCATCACCTAATTGTCTAAATTGCAATAAAGAGCTTTAGTCATAAGCAAGAAGTGATGTTATATAGTCAAACGGAGCCCTGAGACTGATGTGTCACTTCATTGATAAAAACACTATGATTTGAAAACTGCATACTGCATACAGGAAACTGCAAATGCCAGTATCCATATCTGTTTATGTCTGAGAAATTCTGCATAGAGGACACTTTTGCTCTTTAGGCAACAATCCACATCTCAGCTAAAGAGGTGGTTTAAAATAATTGTGGGGATGGGGGAAATAAATAGTTTCTAAGAGGAGAAAGAAGCCTCATACGCTAATCTCTTCTTTATTCATGAAGATCTAAAATGCTTTGTTTCTTTTTTTCCCTTGCTATGCCCACAGCATGCTGGCTGTTGACATATTGGAGTGAAGTTGAGCCCATGGTGCATGCAGCCTAAACTAGAGTGAAGTGTTAGTTCTTAAGTTGTGTGTTTGATGTATGCAGCTTCCCTAGAGGATCCCTTATGGCAGTGTTGTCCAAACTTGGCCACTTTAAGATGAGTGGACTTCGCTGGCTGGGGGAATCCGGGGGGTGTAGATCCCTCATCTTTAAGATGGCCAAATTTGAGAAAACTGGCAAAAAGGATCCCCTAAGGAAACCG